TGTTTTTCCTGATTTTTCTCCGGGGTCCTTCTCAACCGGCCTCATGTCTTCCCCTCGGGAGAACCCACATAATTAGGAAATTCTAATTTTGCACCTTAAGAAGGATCTTTGGCTTTTCCAAATTAAGCCTCGCAGGAAAGAAAAGGTGATAAGACAAACAAAATATGGATAAACGGTTTTGTACCCACACCTTCAGGGTTTCACAGTTCCCCCCTTCCCTAAAGGAATTCCCTAAATTTTGGAGCCCCAATTATTTTTATGCACGATTAATTTACTCTTTCTTATAGATCTGCATCCTCCCTTCAGATGGAAATGAAGCTTTAAAAAGCAATAAAACTATAAGGTGTGCTTTTCCCATTTTGCAAATCAGCAAATAAGCAGTCGCAACCCCTTTCCTTGGGACGACAGAAGCGAGAACATCTTTCAATCCGTTACAAGACCACGCGGTACAATCAAAATAATTTCAGACAAACCCATCAAAAGAAGAGACACGTTTAGTGCGGCGAATTTTTTCTCTCTCTCTCTCTCTCAGAAATCCTTTTCTGTGCTGGTGATTGGGGACCAAATTTTACTGCTCCATCGTGTCTGAAATGTGTGCAGGAGGAAAAGGGATCCAGATCTGAATTTTTCTCACGCCTTGCTCAAAAACACCAGTAATAAACTTAAATTATGTGTGTAGAAGGCCAGTTTGGATGGCTGGGATTTGTTGACGTGGAACAGAGCAGTAGATGGGTTTTTTTAAAAAAATTTCTACCTTTGCTGGCTCCGTCGAAGTGGGCCAAAATGGAGTAGGGGGGATCCCCCAAAGAGGCAGGAATCCACCGCTTCTCCCCCAACCTGGATCCCATTTTCCTGACAAAATTCAAACAATAGCCCAACAACAATCCCAAGTAAAAAAAAGCTTGCGAGTCACGGAAATATAACAAATTGCCAGTTTAGGGATCCGCGAGGATTTCTGAAGATAGAAATATCGGCACAAGGTAATTTTTTTTTTTTTTTAAATTTTAGCAAGATCTGGGGTGGGGTGTGGGAAATCGAGCCCCCTGTTGAGAGGCTAAGACAAGGGAGGAAAAAAGCACAGGTGACGTCAACGAACAAAAATGATTTGTAGAATGCGATGCCTTATCCATCTTTGCCTCGGTGGTGTGGAAGAATTTAATATATCTGCAAAGCAATACGCTATCCCAGTTGGGGACCCCTGATTCCCGCAGCACCCACCCACCCACTCAGGGGACCATCACTCTTCCAAGGGACCCCCTCCCCAACCCCAGTTTTTTTTGCAAATGGCTAGAGAAGAACGGTTAAGAACGACTTACCTGTGGAGACAGGCCGTTGCTGACGGGGTTCATGTGGTTGGCTGGAGCGCTGGGGTTCATGAAGCTGTCCGAGTAGCTGGAGAAACTGTGCCGGGCACCGTAGGCGGAGCTGGAGTCGGGGGTGGCTGCGGACAGGCCCCCCTGGTGCATGGTGGAAGGTGGGAGAGGCTGGGGCCGGTGTACGGTGCTGCCTCCGTCTGCGCGGGGAAAGAAGGAGCCGTGAGAAAGAGGGGCTCGCAGTTCAAACTGTTTCCTTGGAGCGTCAACGGAGAAGAGGGCTGGATGAGAGACCACCAGGACGGGGAAGGCTAGCTTGAGAAGTCAACTGATGATTCAGGAGTGGGACGTGCATTTCCTTGAGGAGCTGACTGAAAAGGAGGACTGGAAAGGAGACCACCAGGAAAGGGATAGACACCCCTCCGTCCCCAGGAGGGTACGCTAGCTTGAGAAGTCAACGACACTAAGCCATCCAGAAAGGAATGGCAATGCATTTTTTGTGTAAACCCCTTGCAACTGTTGTGGCCCGCCAGCGGCCAGCGGAGCTGGTGGAAGACTAGGACGTTGAGGAGGTTGGGGAGGAGCTTGGGCCAGTTCTGGAGTCTGGGGAAAGCTCTGATGGATGCTCTACATCGGATGCAGAGATAGGGCCAGGGCCGTCCGACATTTTCCAGCCACCAGGCAGACGGCTGCCTTTGGAGGCTGCTGTGAGTGAGGAGGAAGAACGGCTGGAGCCTGTTTCCAGAGGCGCGTATGCACAGAGCTGTTAGGAGAGGGGAACAACAGAGGACAAGGAGTTGAATAAATAGAAGGAAAGGGGAGTGGTTGTCGTGGGAGACAAGAGTTTGTCTTTCTGAAGATTTTGCTCCGAGACTGTTTGCCAGAACTTAATTTGCAGCCCTTCATGGCCTTGCAATTATCGCAAGGAACTGCAGTTAACTCTTTGAAGGACTATTGCCTGGACTTTTCAGTGGGTGAATGCAATTCATTCACAAGAGGGTTTTTTCATGACAAAGCATCAGTTTCTTACTCTTGCTAAGCCTGGGTCAGGACTAACAGATTTGAGGCCATCACCCACTTCCTTGGACCCCCGACTGTCGTAAGGACCTCCTCATTCCTTACTTTGTCCAAAGTTTGGGGAGGGGAATACCAGCTTCCTCAAGAGGGAAGAGGCAGCTAATATTCCTCAACCTGGTCTGCTTTAAGACGTGAGGACTTCCACTCCCAGAATGCCCCAGCCAGCATGGGAGTTTCGGCTTTGCACAAGATGGCTGGGTGACCTTGCACAGCTCGACCCAACTCACCTCACAGGGCTGTTGTTTCGGTTTGTAGGAAGAGAAGAAGAGGCGGGGCATTTGATGCCCGGATGCCTTGAATTGTGCCAATCAAAGCGGGAGATGAAACCGATTGTAAACAAAAGAGAAAGTGACCCCCAATGGCAGGATAGGGCAGACGGAGCCCCGAGGCTCCGGAGGCACGTGAGAAAGAGGTTGGAAGGAGGGGTGAAGAAATGCTGCTTAAGGGAGAATTAGATAAGAGGCAGCCTAACCCTCAGCTGCACAACGGGTGGAAAAAGAGGTGGAATAACAGAATATCAGAGTTGGAAGGGACCTTGGAGGTCCTCTAGTCAAGCTCAAGCAGGAACCCCTGTAACATTTCAGACCCATGCTTGTCCAATTTCTTCTGAAAAGGACGAGAAGGGAATTCATTAAGTTCTCGGACTGTAAAAGGGACAGACCTACAAGGTGTCCGTTAACACAGCTTTGCAAGAAAATAGAATTAGCTCAACCAGTCGTGTTTCCTGTCAGTCCCACCTGGGAAGGCTCAGAGTCGGCTGGCTGTCAGGATTCCGTCAGTTGCCCCAACTAAATCATGAGCCTCGAGCCAAACTTCCAAAACTTCAAAAGGATTTATTGGGAGTTAACATGTCCAACACTGCTTGGGTGTAGCCAACTCTGAGACACATCATTCATGGTCACCCTTGACCCTGGTATCCCCCCACACCCCCTGAGTGTATCATAATTCATATTCTCCAATGGGACACTTCCATAGCCCAGAGTCATCCATCATGCTCTCCAGTTAGAATTTTGCCTGGCAGAAACTTCAGTCACCTAGTTACTATCTTTGAAAAACTATGTATGGAATGCACTTTCGATTTCCAAGCTGCCGCACTGCTCTTTCAAACCCCTTTCCCCCCTCCCCTTTCTGTTGGCAACTCGAAAAAGACCATAGAAATACTTCATGAGTTGGCACTCACCTTGGGAGAGAGTGGTGGTCGGATACGTCGAATCGGGCAGCTGGTAAGGTGGCAACGTTGGCATGCCGGTTGGGGGGAAGCCGCCGGGCAGAAGGTGATTGAAAGCGGCCAGCTGGTTGGCGCCAGCCTGCTTGCGCCAACGGGCTCTCCGATTGCTGAACCACACCTGGGGAGAGAGAGAGAGGTGGAGCCTGTTACGGGCTGCGCACCTTGACAGCATCTGGTACCTCACCAATGGGGGAAAATAAAGGCATCTTCTAGCGTAGGACTACAACTCCCAGAACCCTCAGGGAGGCAGAGAATCATGGGAGCTGGAGCGGAGGGCACTGGATAAGGAACAAAGGAAGCTGTTGGTAGAGCAGTAACAGAGAATTAGGAAATCCAGGTGGTTTTTTTCCCCCCCTTCTTGCTATTTTTTGGTCTTGCAGTTGCTGGTCACTGAAAAATTCCTACTTTCTAAGGCAATATTTCTCAAGTTTGGCCATCTTAAGGATTGTGGACTTCAACTCCCAGAATTCCTCAGCCAGTTGGCTAGGGAATTCTGGGAGTTGAAGTCCACATGGGAATTCTGGGAGTTGAAGTCCACATAAGTTAAAGTTGCCAAGGTTGAAAAACACTGTTCTAAAGAGACAATCTATCACTCTTTTCTAGAACTTTTTCCTAGACACATATAGTGACTTTTAATAAAATATTATTAATACATAATCCATATGCAAACAATATGCCATTTCTCTGCATGAATGCTGCCACCTCTTAATTGGAATTTAGGCAAGTTCCGTGCAGTGGTGGGATTCAAACAATTTAACAACCGGTTTTTCTCTCTGCTGTAATGATTTCTTCCAACAACCAGTTCACCAAACTACTCAGAAAGTTAACAACTGGTTCTCCCAAACTGGTGCGAACCTGGCTGCATCCCACCACTGGTTCCGTGCAACCACAATCTACACGGGAAGCCTTAATTTTTTTATTCCCCCCCCCCCCAAAAAATTAGTCATAAAAAAATACAAGTTGGTGGGGGGGGGGGGGGGGGGGGGGGAAAAGGGAGGAAACAATTGGCAAGTTTTAGCTTTTAGGAGCTTCGGCATTGCAGCTGCTTAAAAATCTCCGAGGCCTCACAGGATGAGCAATGTGATTAAATTTCAGAGCAACTGGAATTTTTAGGGGGAGGGAAAAAAAATAAACAGAAATAATAATAATAATAATAATAATAATCCATACTCCAGGAATTGGGAGAAATGGCTAAGTTGGGAGCCTGGCATGTAAAAACCGCTCTGAAAAAACACGTCCCATTTTGCTGAGGGGAGAATTGTTAGGCCCAAACCACGCCAAAAAAATAATAATATTTTTTTTACCCCTACGGCAAAAGCTCGGGGTTTAAAGACATCGATATTCGTCCATTAAGCCCAGGATGCAAGATATTTCTTTCCCCAAATTTCCTCCGGCAAAGATTTTTGATGGATTAGATTGAGGGAGGGGGCGGGCGTTCTTTTTTTTTATTTTTTATTATTTTGGCTGACATGTAACGGACAAGCCAGGTGCGACGCTGGCCGATGAATCTCATCGCATCTGCAGTGGCTTTCGGTGGGGAATGGAGAATGACGGCATTAATTTAAAATGGCATATTTTCTTTTTTCTTTCTTTTTTTTTTTTGCTGCTATCTTAAATTCTGGGCCCCTGGGAAAATTCTGCTGCTTCCCACACTCTGGGAAGAGGAGTTATTGGTTTTTTATACGAGCCTCTCCAAACTCCTCCCCAAAACTGGCATGTGCTGGCAGCCCCCTCCAAGAATTTCAAATCGAGAACAAATCGACTTAAGTGTACAAAATATGGAATAAGCAAGTTGGAAGGGACTTTGGAGGTCTTCTAGCCCAACCCGCTGCTCGAGCAGGAGACCTCATATCGTTTCGGAGAAATGACTGCCCAATCTCGTACGTAAAAACCTGAGATTGCATTAAAAGTACTGAGATTAGAGCCTCCCTATTCGGGCAGGGTATATCTCTGAACAGCAGCTATTGGGGGGAGGGTTTGAAGTCCAGGAAGCCACCTCTGGATGGTATTCTAAATAAAAATTGGCACAGCCGCTATCCTCTGTGTTAGGGATAACATTGTTTTACCCTAACTGTTTTGGGTAAAGATAATAAAATGATGAATCATGGTTTGTCAGATAAAGTGTATGTGACTTTAAGCTAAAGGAATGTAATTAAGGGTGCAGCTGTAAAAGTACTATATAAGCAGCAAGGCACTCTCTGGCTCTTACTGGCTGGCTTATTGAAGACTGCATTCTTGCTGGATCGGGGAGGAGAAGAAGTGTTGGATTACTTTGAAGATATTTCTCAACGGAGAGAAGATAAGTTTTGGACAGATTTATTATATGTGTACTGACACTGGCTATTCGACACGGACTTTGCAATTAGAGTATCCTCGACAAGACTTGACTGAAATTGATATATGACTAATGGACCGTTTATTTGCCTATGCTATAATTCTTAAATGGAATAAACTATATTTTTGATAGCACAAGCGTATCTGTATTTTTACTGCGTGTTAACTAGAAAACTTATCTCACACATTTACCTGTCTTCCTATCTGACTTCGCTGCACATTCTGTTTAGTTTGTTTTCCTTAACACCCGTTGGGGAATCCAGGCTTAACACTCTGCATCTTCAAATTCGTGTATTATACATATAGGGAGTCCTTGCTTAACGGCTGCCCCGTTTAGCAACCCAAGTGATGACGATACTGGAGAAGGGACGTGGTGTCAGCATTTGGGCGGCCTCCGACAGGCGGAGTCGATGGAGAAACCGGCAGGGTGAAACTGCAAGTCACAGCCGCATGATGTCTCGCTTAAGGACCGCACTGCTTAGCGGTGGGGTCGCTGGTCATTCAGCCAAGGATTATCTCTGCAGAATTTAGAAATAAAAATGGGGGCCTACTACCCTGTGTGCAGGATGGGAAGGTCAGCTAGTGAACAGGAGGAAGTTTAATGCAATTAGAAGCGTTCCTAGTTGCTTCCCGCCCTCAAAGATCCACTGGGCCTGTCTATGGAGGTGTTGTGGTTAGCCGGCAGCAGGTGCGGATGGCGGCGGAGGACTCAGATGAGGGGCCAGGACCATTGGGGAGTGGACTGCTGCCTTCAGGGATTGTGGGGGCTGGCAGCAGCGATGAGGAGGTTCCCAAGGAGATTGTGCCAAGTGCGCGTGTGCGCAGGGCTGCTTGTAGGAAAGAGCAGCTGCAGCAGCATGGGCGACTCGGGAGTAAGGCTGCAAGGTAATGGCCCCTCCCTCGAGAAGATAAAAGCCAGCTGTGAACCAAACGTTCTTTGCAGGAAGCAAAGACGTTTTGAAACTCAGCCTCGTGGACATTAGTTTTTTTAAGTTGGTATTTGAAGACTCTTGTGTTGTGGAATATTTCTAATTAGTTTGCAGCAGCCTTTTAACCGGGGATTCGTAAGACTCATTAAAAGGTTTCTGTTCCCTTTGGTTATTATTTGTCTTATTGGAAAAGGGTTTGGGTCAGAACAGGAGGCTCCACCGGGCAAGTCACGACCCTTATCCATCCATCGAAGGACCTTTCTCTCGGGGATGTACAGCAGAATATAGCTACAGATACAGATTAACAGAGTTGGAAGGGTCTCCTGTCTCTTATCTTTCTTTTTTTTTTAAATCATCTTCTCCGGCTTGCATCGTTCTTCCTCTCTTGTTGTTGTTGTTTTTTTCCAACACAGAAAGGAAAAACTAGGGAGTGACAGAGATGGAGGCATTGCCCAATGCCCAAAGCTTCCTGCTGTTACTTAGAGGTGTGTGTGTGTGTGTGTGTGTGTGTGTCTGTGTGTTTCTGTGTAAGAAACTTAAAAATACAGCCCAGCGGTTCCTACCATCTGTAATTTCCGCTCCCCCCCCAAGCCCTTTCTCCAAACGGTAGCTGATGTCCCTCTCTCTCTTTCTCTCTCTCTCCCTCTCTTTTAATGCTTATAAATCATTTTATGGGTGAATAAAATATACAGGCTGGAGCAGGAGAGGGTAATGCGAGACCCACTTCAAAGCAAAGCTGTTTTTCACTCCATCACTGTTAAGGTTTTTATCAGCCGGCTGGAGGAGCCTCTCCTGCCACGGGAATCCATTTCAAAAAATAAACAAGAGAAAAGCTCTCGGCTCCCGATGGAGAGCCAGGCCTTCCCATAGGGCCAACCCAAGAAGAAAGAGGAAATGGGGCAGGGGGGAGGGGGACAGAACAGCAAGGGTTCCCCCCTCGCCATTGAAGGGTCGTCAAGTTATCCGAAAGTTGGTCCTGAGTGTCATGCCTCTGTTGGAGAACAGCTGACAGGGAGTGTGGCTCCGTTGGCTGTGGAGGGAACTGGGGAAGGGCAAAGTCCGGCTGGGCAGAGCAGGGGAGAGGTAGAGCAAGGGAGAGGGAGTTCAGAGGAAGACCCAGGTCCACCCCCCTCTTCATCCTAGGGGCGTGCAGGGAGGAACAGAGAAAGGAGCAACGTGGGTGGCATGCCTTACGGGGGAGGAAAGGGCCCTGATTCCCTCCATTAGCCACATCTGGGAATGAGAGTTTAAAGGAGACGCAAGCTGAGAGCGGCGTCTGCTGGGCCCAAACGTGACTTTATCTTGTCTTGACTTTAGTTATCGGTGTTCCGGGCATCTTCCCAACTGTGTTGAGTTACTGCCATGCCTGTACGTTTGGAATTCTTGCTCCTGCCCTGCCGAGCTAATTGCCTCATTTTGCCTTGGTTGGACTTATGATTAAAGTTTTTGTTGACCATGTTTTGGACTTTATTTTCTCTGCAGTTTCCTGGGGGAGTTTTTCTCCAGCCAGAAGGTAACCAGGACATTGGGGGCAAAGTTGGAGCTAATAAAGGGACTCCTACTGATTATCTGACTGGGTTGCCTTTGTGCCACACCGAATGGGAGGTTTCCACCGCAGTATTGTGGTTCTCCAAACCAGCCAAAATTTCCGCAACCAGTACATCAGAACCGGTCTGAACCGGCTGAATACCATCTCTGGCATTGTCACTATTAAGCCGAGTTTTCCAGATGATCGGACTCCAGCGTCCAGCGTCCTTCATCAACCCAGCAAAGCCACCTTAAGAGTCACAGCCACTGCCGTGCTGAATTTCAGCGGGCTCGGAGTTTGCTCACTTCCCCAACCCAACCCAATCCT